GGGACTGCAGAGTGTTAGGCATTAATTTAACCTATGGCATACCTGTTTTCACAAAATTAAATAATAATGCCTGCACATGCATGGTCCCATTCTAAATTGTGCACCGTACTTTATTATGGACGTTTTTTTTTTTGTTGCACAGTTTCAGATGGATGATGCTGCTGCGCTAGAAAGGTAAGCACACTCCACACGCATCCCAGAGGTCGACGGTTCATTCTCTGGCCACGGATTCCTATATCCGCCCACCTCTGTCCATCCAGGCGTACACGTGAGTAGCACCATGGGGATAAAGCGTGGGCACTCCCGCTCCTTCCAAGATGTCTGGCCAATGTGGAGGAGTAGGCCAAATACAGGCATTCGCAAGAGCTCCTTATAATCGAGCGAATTCTGCCAGCAGTGACATGAGCGAGCGGTTTGCAGGGCTGCACTTTTACCATTTCCAAACGGGTCTATATGTAATTGTAAGAATAGTCTAGCTGAAGATATCCTCTTCCCACCTGCACCTGCAAACGAGGCCCCGTCAATCCGCTCCTCAGATCCCTCCAGTGGCTTTCAATCCAGTCCCGAGGCCACTGCAAGATCACCCTCACCGTCTTCAAGATCGTCCTTCAAGTGCTCTCCACTCTTGCATCCAAAGCTCTCGATCAAACCCGTTAGCCTCCGCACAAAGGGGGGTCGTTTCTTTTCAGCTGCGGCTCCCAATGTCGGGAAATCTCTACCTCTGCCCATTCACACACTATTAAGATCCTTCCCCTGTTCAGGTGTAAACTATAAACCAAAAATATTTTCAACTGTATTTTATTTTTTACCAGGTAAGGCCCACTAAGCTATACAGCTCTTTTTCAGAAGCAACCTGGCCACAAATGATAGCTCAACGAAGTGGCTTTTCACTTGACATTTATAGCAGCCAAGGACTCTTAAACGCATGTGTATTCTAAACCGGAGGACATGGATAAAAATCCACACGACCACGGAGCGAACATGCAAACTCCAAATATACAGCAGGCATCAGGGTGGTGATTGAACCCACGACCTCTATACCAGGCGACTGTAGTGTAGGCTGAAGGCTTCCTCTTCTCTTGAGCCAATGACTACATCCTTCCCTCGCACCTCCGATTACCACGGTTGGCAATGTACCGTGCGAAAGAAGTTCAACGTAGAGGGGTTTGCATTAGCTTGACCCCCCACCGTCACGTCGCCTCTACTCCCTCTTGGCCTGTCACATTCCACCTCTCCTTCCCCCGATTCGTGAAAAAAACATCCTCCAAAATCCTCATCTTCTTAAAACTCTCTCGATGTCCACGTTCCCCCCATTATTTGCACCACGCTGTGATATTTAGATGCTTTATGAAGCCGTATTGTACATCGGAGAGCAATGAGACTCATTCCAGAAATTAATAGAGTCTGGCATGTGGCTTGGATCAGTGCAGTAGTTTCCCTGCCCACATATTGAAAATAACTTCAGCGTAGACACATACAAAATCGGTTTCCCTCTCTTTACGCTGGGTGGCTTTGTGAGATTTCGCGTGCACGCTGCGAGCCTATTTCTACCCAAAATTCGGCCGCGTTACACGGTCCGAATTCATTTATTTCTGATGTTTTTCTCACAGGTCTCCTTATTCACACTGGGGTCAGACCCCTCGACGTTCCCTGCTTGGTTGCATGCCCATCAAACGTAATATTTTAATTTACAGAGCTGGATTAAGCTATGCTGGCGGGACGTGGGACAACATTGCGCTCGTCTGTGGATTGGGTGCCCTCCTCGGCAGGCGGCTGTCTTAGCAAAAAGCACAAGCCCGTCACGTACTCGTGACGAGTTCACTTTGGGGGTGAGATGGCGCCAGCGTGTCGTCAACCCACCTCCACCCGACACGGCCAATCAGCAAGGGGCTTGTCACGTCCAAAGAACTGGCCAATGTGTCACCGCTTCAGCACACCTCGTGAGCCCCGTTTTGGGACGCATTCACTGCCGCATAGAGCGAGGCACACGTGCGTTCTTTCGTAGTCATCAACATCGGCCGTGCTCGACCCACTGCTGGATGAATGCCTCATCCTCCTCGTCTCCGCTGCCATATGTCAGTCTCGTGATGCGTCGATTCATGCCGTGCCTGCATGCGACTTGATTTCATTCGTCTCGGGCGCGTTTTATCACCTTTGGCTAAACCACCATCAACAGTCTCGCCCACTGGCCATCATCCCCTTGGATAAAATGTGTCTTGTTCTTAGCAGTCCATAACGATGCCCCTTCAACGTAACACCTCAGAATATGTCCACCTCGGGCAGTTACTCAAGCCGCGGACTGGATGAAAGTAATGGAATACAGCGGCGGATGCGAACGGGCTCGAGTGCTGAACTTACTCATGCAAATTACCGGTACCAAATGGAATTGGGCATGGGGCCTGATTCCATTGCTTGCATCAGGGCCCGTGCCAACCACCCGTTTGACACGCAATGCGTGGAGACTCCAGAGAAAGTTTCTGGTGTTTGCCAACACTTCTTTGTTTCGAACGCTTCTCTTACGCGAGGTAACTTCAGATTTTCTTGCTTTAACGTACGGTACTGTCTTCTTTATTTCCATTCTACGTGACTTTACCGAAAGAACCAAGAAGATGAATCCCTGCAGTCACAAAAGCTTTAAATCGTACGGTACTGTCCTTTAAGTGTCGAAGGGATGCGTTGCCGACAATTCCACCACGCGGTTCAAACTGTTGCCTCATTAAGAATTATTGCATTGATCGCTTCTGCAGCGGCTGGGTGGCACAAATAGGTCAAAGCACTGAGCTGGCACTGCTGATATCCTCGGATGGAAGCCAAAAAACACTGCTCGTGATTAAACCGGCTTCTCAAGTGTGGCGAGCTGATGGTTTCAGCCTGCCTCCCCCCCCCCCCATTGACTGCACAAAATACTCCATCAGATGAAATTGTTTTTGCACGTCCTTTGGTAAAAACAAAAACAAAATATCCCTGAGAATTAAAAGATCAGTTTGATTGTCATCGAATTTCTGTCTGCGGCTTGTTCGGAGGGGGAAAGTAGTGCCCCATGAGTGCTGCCCTCGACTGAGGATGAGGTCACTAGAAAATATTTCAGAAGACGCTCTGCGATGTCTCCTTCCACGGACCATTCTCTCGTGACTTTATGAGATGTACTGAATGGATTATTTGACTCTTCACATCATTGTGCGTATTAGCGCCTTCGGTATACAATGGGTTTGTTTTTTTGTACAAAGTGTAAATGGATATCTTTATTCACACCGTGCACGCGTTCTCTGAGACATGCCCTTTGATACCAGAAGCAACATTATAGAGCCACAAGCCAGAGGTGAACTTAAAATATGCTTTGAGCCAGCGTGAGATCCAAGGCTGAATGGGACCACTCCAGGTAGCGCAAATGAAGAAATGTCATGGCAAATAGGAGAGCACAGCGAGTGGTCAACATGTATTTCAAATATTGCTGCCTTCAGTGCCATGTGCATTTGTGCATTTGACATTGATCGACCGATGTCCTTTCAACCAGGTGGATATTCACATACGCACGCAGTGGATGTGCATATATATGCACGCAGAGTGTTCCTCCCTCTCAATCACATTACAATTGTGCTGTCGGTCTAATGCCACAAGATGAATGAATGTCGATGATGAACTGGCAGCTGGTAGTGCACCACTTTGATTCGGAGGAACGCCTCCAGGAGGTGAAGCGACACATTTATTTCTGATGTTTTTCTCACAGGTCTCCTTATTCACACTGGGGCCAGACCCCTCGACTTTCCCTGCTAGGTTGCATGCCGATCAAACGTAATATTTTAATTATCAGAGCTGGATTAAGCTGAATTAAGGTGAGAGATTAAACAAAAATTTGAAGGCAGTTGGTTTTCTGTGTGGTCGTCATCAAGACAATCACATCGCAATACTTCAGAAACACATTTGATGGGTTCAAGCTGCCTGGATTTGAACACGTGATCTCTGCTGTGCTCTGGCTCATGGCTCTTACAGACGCGTCCGCCATGCCACACTGCTTACACAACCACCTCATCTAAGCTCTATCCAGGCTCAACTCTGCGTAGCCTTCGAGATTTGCTTAGATCGGGTGCATTCCAGGGGGTATTTGGTCAGAAGCACTGACCAAGTAAAAAAAAATACAACTCATCTGCAAATTCCATTGGACACCACACTGACAAAAGAGCATGATGAACAACGTGATCTCTGCAGTACACCTGGAACACATCCAAGGTCGTGTTAATAATTCAGACGTAATTATGTATAAGCGAGTATAATGTAATTCTCAGATATGATACCAGCCACAAATGTTCATGGAATGTCGTGTTCACAGTTACAATTTGTATTTCGTTTGTTACAAACGTGGCATTGTAACCTCCCCCCCCACCCAAACAAAAAATGTAGTTCATTGCCATGAGCGATTATTCGGTTAAAATGAACGGGGGCATGAAGTGAAGACATTCGTAATTCAATATCAATCCGGCACGTGCACAGCCCGTATTGTCGAACCCCATGCTGGACGATGAGGCCATTCGCCATAATTTTCGAGCCACGAGGGACATTTGGCCATACTTCACCACACTGCTCTGCGCCACTTGGTGAAGGTTGCGGGGGTGCCGGGAGGTACATTTTTATTTTTTATTTTTCTGCACGACCCTCTTCGACCCGCAACGCCTGCTCCACCTGTCGTTGACGCATGCTGGTCACCCATCCAAGTGCTATCCAGGCTCAAGGCTGCTTAGCTTCTGAGATCTGATGACACCACCGGGACCTTCTGGGTGATCGCCACCCAACTTGGTGTGAGATTTTGTGATTTCCTTTTCACATTTAAAAGTGTTGCTCAAATACCAAACAATGTGTGTTGCGTTATTTTTTTGTGATGCCAGTCATTAAAAAAAACATACCCCTAAGACTGTTGATTCAGCAATATGAATTGAATGCATCGGAAATAATCGAGGGAGACAAATTTATTTCAACTTCAATTTACTTCCTTTTTAGTAATTTTCTTCAGAAAAGAAAAGAGAGAGACAGACAGACAAGTTTCGTCGGTCAACGATGGGCCCAACCACGATCAACAGGATCCACCACAAATGGTAAAAAGCAGTCGTTGTGAATGTAGGTGCAAGTGCCATGTAAGTGCGATGACATCGACCGGCACGTGCGGATCTTCTCGCTCGTGTGTGTGTGAACCCAAGAAAGGAACGATGCGTTTGAAGTTCGAACCAAACCGTAGAAAAAGACTGTTGAGAACATCGTGAGATATTTAATAATGTCATAGATCAAAAAAATATCATGCAACTCTAAGATTTCTGGCACTTGAATCAAGTGGATATACGTCATCAGACGTACCGTCTGGTGTAGGAACACAGAGGCCTTAACGATATATCCTGATTTTTTTTTGTAACAGCTTGTAACGCGCTTTAGAAAGTTACAATTACACAATAAATTTTCTTTACAAAAAAATCCACCCTCCCCCACGCCCGAAATAACTACTTAAAAAAAAACTCAAGCAAGAAACGAAAAGACGAAAATCTACAATCCTAAAAAATATAATTTAATCCACTGTACTGCGCACATTTGCATTAGATGGCCTCAGTTTAACTGATATTCATGGCACACGTGACAGATATTTATACCTAGAGAACAAATAAGACAAAAATGTGAGAGAATCTCTCAATCTCATTGAGGTCCCCGATTGAATGAAGCATACGCAACAGCACTGGAGCTCATCAAATCACTAGTTGCGACAGTTTTTCTTTTGACAGGCAATATAGCAAATGGACCAACAGCAATATTTGTACATTTTCACAAATCCTTGCTTACATTTCTCGTAAGACAAGTTTCACAGTTTGATATTTTTAGTTTTTTTCCCTTCTTTTTTTTACAGCTTTGTAGCAACCAACATTGTCAGTCAAGTTGAATAGTTTTTTTTTTTGCGTTACTATCCTTGAATGCATGCTGACGTTTTCCAATTGATAAAAAAAATGTGTAACATGCACTTCAACGATGGTTAGTCAGTTTTCCCCTCTGTCAAAACTCATTCTCGCCAGTACAAAATTATTTTAAGTCAACGAACGAACTGAGATAGCGAAACGGAAAATACTTTCAAGCAAACACCCGTTTATACTAAATCTAACAGCTTGATTTGAAAAAAAAGTGCAGTTGTGCACTTGTGTGTTTCGTTACTCAAAAACAATTTAGCAAATAAATTAATTCCTTTGAGCAAGCTTAAAGTAGCAGGGTAATAATGCACACTATCTTGGCACACTCACCATATCCTGCAAATAATTCCCCCGAGTGACTGGAAATTTCTGGCGGTTGTGTTTTTTGTTTCTCCTAATAAATTAGAACACTTTCAAGCACCCTATTTTTTCATTATATATTAATTACACGTTTTTTGTTATTTATCAAAGTGCTGTTTCTTTTTTACCAATACTTTACATGGCACTAGACCCACAATGGTAATAGCACCTTTAAAAATAAATATATATTTCGAATGTAATGCGCGCGTATAAGTTTAAGTTCAATTGTTATTCGCAAGGAAATCTCGCCAAAAAGAAACCGTCGCGGTAGATGAATGTGGCCGCTAACCGCGACACACCTCGCCTCAATGAATTTAGCCAGACAAATAATATCTTAGCTTGTAGCAATTATTATTTTGGGGGCTATATGGTGACACGAGCCAGATTCAGGGGGGCGCTGATATTGTCCTAGCGCTTCGGTCGTTCGTCACGTGATAAGTAGCACTCACTTTGGCTACGCGCAGGGGGTGTCTCCCATTGCACTGCACTCGCTGTTTCCAATATTTTAAAAAAAGACAAAGCTAGAAAACAAAACATTTTGGCACGTTTTCGTAATTGCTGGCTCATGCTAGCCATCCTCGTGGTCCCTCGTGAAGCGTTGGCACACGTACATACGGCGTGATATGGACGGAACGGTTGAATGCATAAACATGTTTAAAAAAATAAAAGCATTCGGCACCGGTAAAACTGAAGCGCGCTTGCCTCGTGCATCCCCGCAGGCCGTCTGTGAACCGCGTGGCGCAGCGCGTCTCTCCGCAGAGACAGCGGCGCGCCCGCCTGCATCGCGCACGGACGCACGGACGCAACGCATGCACGCAGACGAACAGAATACATATGCACACATGCAGACACGCGCACACGCCTAAGCAGACGTACGCTAATACACACGCGTGCGCACACACGCAGGCACAGGCGCACAAAGACAAAGATCCCCTGTGCGGCCTTTAACACAGTTGGGGAAAGTGCGAGCACGGTGTGCAAGGGGGCGGCCACCTTTGTCTCCCTGGCGCCGACGTTTTACACACTGCGCCGGCTACTCATTAAAGGCCGAGTCGAACGTAACGGGAGGTCCCGGACAGCTTCTGATATCACCGATCTTTGCCTTTTACACACATACCCACACACACACGCGCACGCACACACCGCACGCGCGCCGCACGGACGCCGCCATCCACGCTCGCACCGCATCATCATTCGTCTTTGCGCTCGGCCTGCGCCGGCTGCAGGCTGATGGTGTAAACTGGGAACGCTAGGCCGGAGAAGAGGCCCTCCGCCGTGGTGATGACCCCGCCCGCCGCGGCCGCCGTCGTAGCCGCTCCGAGCGGCAGCTGGTCGGCCGACAGCACCCCGCCCGCTTGCGCCGCGGCCGCCGCGGCGGCCGCGGCGGCGGCGGCCGCGGCGCCCATCCTCTGCACGTGCTGGTAAATGACGTCGGCCGACGCCTTGGGGTCGAGCCGGAGCGCGGCGCTGTTCAGCTCGATGAGGTTGAACGGCGGCGCCGGCCGCAGGGCGTGCGGCCCGGCGGCCGCGCCGGCATCGGAGCCGGGAGCCTGTGCGGCGCCGCCGACTCCCGCCGCCGGCGCGTCGCCGCCCGGCGCGTAGCGGATCGTGCCCGTCGTGTAGACGCGCGGCTGCGCGGAGGCCGACGCGGCGGCGGCGGCCGCGGCCAGCGGCAGCACGAGTCCGGCCTGCTGCTGGAGCCTCTGCAGCAGCTCCAGCTCGCCCGCCGTGTACAGCAGGGAGGCGACGCTCGCCACGGGCGGCGAGAGGGGCAGAGGGGGCGACGGCTGCCGGTGCCGGGACGCCGCGGTGCTGCCGGTCGCCGACGGGGAGCCGGGAGAGGCGTCGTTGACCGATTGCGGCCGCTGCTGCCCCCCTTCCTCTTTCTCGTCGGCGACCTCGTCGGTTTCCGGCGACGCGAGCACGCTCTCGGGGATGTCCTCGTTGAGGATGTGCGCCGTCTGGCTCGAGTGGACGCTCGACGAGTTGAGCTGCTCGGCCACCATGCTGAAGTCGGAGTCGCCGCGGAGGATCTCGCGGTTGGGCAGGCACGCCCAGGATGGGGCGATCCCGTCGGCCGAGCGCGGGGACACCTCCAGCCTGAACTTCGGCAGCCTTTCGAAGTCCAGCGACGGCGTCACCAAGTGCACGGCGGCGGGCAGCGGCGACTCGACTTTATCCGCCCGCGAGACGTCCAGCGTCCACTTCCTAGGGCCTACGATGCTCCTGTCCCTCAGGGATCGCTTCCGTCGTTTCCTGAGTCGGCTGGAGGTTTGCATCCTGCTCTTTGACACCTCCAGCCTGTCGCAGCCATCAATCGAGTCCCGGTCGCTGTCCGATGACATCGATTGGCCCTCCGTAGCCTTTGCCTCCGTGTGCCGATCGGAATTTCTCAGCCTCCGTTGCCGCTGGGTTTTGACGCCTCGGGACAGGACAGTCCTTCTGGGTTGCTCCGTGACCTTTGGCCCCTCGTACAGATCGGAGCTGTCAGACTGGGCGTCCGAGTCTTCATCGTCGTCGTCGTCATCGTCGTCGTCGTCATCTTCATCATCGTCATCGTCAAGGTTGTCCGAGCTGCTGTCGTTTTTCATATTGTCTTCACGTGAGCTTTGGCAAATGCGGGCAGGTGGCTGCTGCTGTTGCTGTATCGAGTGGGTATGGCCTGGGTCCGTCCGTGATATCGTCGTGGCTTTCCGAATGGGCTCCATGATGACGCTGTTTTCGATGATCCCGAGGCGGCCATCCACGCATCTCAACGGCTCGTTGTTCTCTTCTGCAACGTGACAACGTACGACAACATTTATTTCGTTTGGTTTTAAAAACAAAGCGCAGCGGCGAACCGCGTCCGTGATCTCAAGCGTACGCCAGTGTCACAGAGGGCAGCGTAGGAAAATGAAGAATTTGTTTTTAAAATATCAAACGAGTAACGCTAAATATACTTTTTAACACGTGTTACTCATCACTATTGATAATATCGCTTCAACATTGTGGGCCTTTGGTTCGTACAAAGTCATTCACGGTTGTCATCGCTATTGTGACCGCACGCGACAGCACATAGGCACTTGTGATAAGGCAAAGTTCTAAAACCGAATGTTACAGATAAGACCATAACAATGTACGGCCCTTTGTCAATCCGCCATTGTTTGATTTCCTCCATGTGCCATGGCAGCCATGGTGGTTGTTCGACCATGTTTCACCACACTGGTTGATGCGGGTTGGTGAAGTGAAGGAGGCGGGGTGGGTGGTGCCCAAGATTGGTTCAGATATTGCTCACCACCGATGTCAGTAGCCGTGGCCTGGGAGTCTAACTCCGACTGCTAGGTTCATAACAGTGCAGTGCGTCAAACCGCTGCGCCACCACTCCCCAACAGACCATGCATATCCTTTATTCCAGGATGCTGTGTGGACTTTATAAAACCTTCATGACCAGGCGTGCTCACTAATCATTGGTCGCTCGCTCCGCTATCTATACCCTACGGCTTATCCCCAAGTGAAGCAGTTTATAGAAATCATTATTAACCTTTGGGTAAAAGATTATACTGAGAAAGGAACTAAATACAAAGCACACTCTGTCGATATATCGATTTAATAAAAAAAAGATGCTTTCTCTACTTGCCTTTTGCCTCTGTCTCTGAGTCAGAGGTTGATATTTCCGTGGTCTGTTCAGCAAGGCTGGGCATCTGCTGAAGATCCAAAATGCACCCTTTCATCTCCAGGTTGCTGATTGAGAGAAGAACGACCGGCAAACACACCGCGGGTCAACGCAGAGCAGACTGCACATCAGCCACGCGCGCACCACACATTTAACCGTGTTGATTTCACCTTCCATTGCCAATTTGCCCACTAAAGGGCACACCACATCTGACATTTAAGAATGATCATAATCATCATTCACAGCACCCTTTGTCAATTCACTGCTGGGTTGAGCTTCTTTTGCACCGTACATGGACAAGCCGTGCTAATCGAAGGTGCGGGGGAAGGGCGGCGAATGAAACACGAAAAGCAAAGAAATGAGTTTTTTTTAAAGAGATGTCAAAGTGCATGGCTGCAGTGGCTTCCTAATAAGGTGCATAGCTTCAGTGGGATGGATGAAGGCGGTGTTGTTCGAAGAGGTTGCTTGACTATACTTCACCATTCTGGTCATTGTGGGTTGGTGAAAGTGTGGGGAGGCGAGGCGGGGGGGGGATTGTGCAGGACTGGCCAGGAATCAAACTCAGGTTACCAGGTTCATCGAGCATTAAGGTACCAATGCATCACTGCGAAATTGACATTACAACAACGAGTGTATTGCATTGATCCTCACGCGTTTTGGTCTCTTAATAGACGCAGTCATCTTGACTCGCAAAATCCGAGTCAAGATAACTGACAGGGGTTTTGCGTAATTGTGTGTTTTTGAGAAAGCCTCCATTGCTAGACTAAACGCTGCAATCTGGTGCAATGGGAACATGCATTTGTGCATCTTAGAAATGTGTCCTATGTGCGATGCACACGACCTGGAAATGTCTCTCGAAAATATTTTAACCATGGTGAAGTTGGCTGTTTGCTCGAATAGCGAGTATCATGATCCCAATGATGGCATTTTAACCCATATTCAGATACCCTGAAAAGCACATTTTTCCGATAAAGGCTTTTGAAAAAGATATATTTTCAATGTTCAACTTCAGGTATTGCAAAAACGGTGTGTAACGTTCCATTTACAATGCAGTTACATTTCAGATTTGTATGGAATCCAAATGCACCTGCACAGCAACATTGTGAATAAAAACCGTGACACCTGTGCCACTTTGCACAATGCCCAGGTTATATTTCACAGTTCACCTTACTTGTATTGATTTAGATATATCTCTTTGCAATACTGCTTTGGAGGTGGTGGCAGTGGACATGCACGAATAATAACAGCAACAAAAACACAACGCATTCACGAAGAACATTGCCTAAAAGAGGAAAAATGATTAATTAAACAATGTTTCAGACAATGTGTTCAGGGCTATTGCTCATCACGCCAACTATCATTAAACAATTCACCCTCCTTCGGGGGGTGGCAGCGTTATTGGCGCAAATGCTTTTTGTCATTTTCACTTGCAGTGTGAATAATAAGAATTTACATTTCTAAATAAACCTCTCACCCGGAGTTCACGTTGCACACAGCGGTGGCGAGATGTTAACTCCCTCGCCTGGTACGCAGGAGGTCGTGGGTTCGATCCCGAATCTGACGCCTGCTGTATATTTTGAGTTTGCATGTTCTTCCCGTGGTCGCGTGGAAAATAGGGGCCTCTGGTTTTTCGCTCCACATTTAGAATTATGCATGTGCAGCATTTGGCTGCTATAAACGTCCGCAACAATAAGCCACTACGTTGAGCTATCATTTGTGGGCAGGTCGCCTATGAATAAGAGCTATACAGCTCAGTGGGCCTCACCTGGTAAAATATATTCATGGAGTTTTAGTTTCTAATGTATCCGTGCACCCATGTGACGAGGAAAGATTGCAATTTTTTGACCGTCGATAGTGAACGAATTTAACACGTAGGCTTTCGCGACCAACATGACTCACAATGAAGGTGTTTGGGTTAGGTCGCGTCAATTCAAGCGTGTCGTTAACCCGCCGCCGCCCGACACAGCCAGTCCGTAAGGTTTGTCACGTGAAGCAAAACGTGCCAATTAGCTACCACGCCGGCACATCGGTGCGACGGAGAGTAAACCCACGGAAATTGACGAGCGCTGCGACGTTCCGCCGGCAATGACAACAGCCAGGCCCTCATGCGGGCGACTTGCCCGTCGTCGGCAGCGAGGGTGCGAGAGTGCGAGAGGGTTCGGACCTGAGCACGTAATTCACCGACACGACCGTCTTCTCGTCCGCGTTCTTGCTGTTGATGGTGATGGTCGCGGTGGACTGCACCCAGATGTAGCCACCGCACTTCTGCAGCCATCGGTAGTAGTTGGTGATGCACTGTCCCTTGTTTATCACTGCACGGCGGCCAAAAAACACGACGGGCCAAGCGAATAACATTAAGAGCGGACCATTAAGTCAAGTGTATCCGTTAGCCATTATGAAAAGTGGCTGTGCGGTGATGGAGTGAGGGTAGGAGATGGCTGCCTGGGCCGGTGGGTGGACAGAGAGAGCAGGGTTATTGATTGCGAGGAGCACAGATTTTTTCCCTTACAATAACAAAGCCGTGACAAACGCAAGGGGCTTTAAAGCATCGCCACAATTAAGCAGACGCCACAATCCCCGAATCAACTTGCGTAAGTAAAAGCAGGATTCAGCGTCAGCCCCTAAGTGGCCTCTAAGCTGCAATGAGCAGATTGAAACGATGGACAGATTCAATGGTGATCATCCGACAACCCTGGGCATAAACGTGGCACAAATAAGGTCTCGCAGCTGCAATTTTTCTCGGGAGGGAGGGTGGGGGGGGGGATGACCTGCACGGATTCCACAAACCGCCGCTTTCTTTGTGCTACTGGGGTTGGGAGTGCGTGCGGCCCCAACCTCGCGTCTCCAAAGTGAAATGGGGACACTCACGATCCAAGTGGCTGAGCCGCAGTGCCGCCACATCCTCCGTGTGGATCAGGTGGTAGCAACTCTTGCCCACAATGTCGCTGGCTGTTTGGTCCATGTAGTCGCTTATCCTGCTCACGCACAGTCACAGCAGTCGACATTCGCCACTAAGTGCCGGTGACGTCAACCCCAGTGCTTGTTCCAGGCTAGGTGCACTTTGTGGCCACGTGAAGTGTCGGCGGCTTGCTGGCACGAGGCGGTGGGATAGTGCCAGCTGTTGTGGGCAAACTGAGATAACTGGCAGATGTGCCACCTGTCCACTCAACTTAACAATAATTTAATTTTGAGTTTTAGCCTGCCCAGCTCTTCGCTCGCTGTTGTGAGCGTCGCTCCTCCACTCTCCATTGTTGCTGGAGGGCGACTGCCTCCAACGGCACAGTAGCATCCTTCACTGCCTCCTCTACAGAGGCCGATCTTGTCACCGCTGTTACCAATCATTCCACACCTCCGATTAGTACGGTTGGCTCCGTACGGTGCTAAATAATTTCAACATACATACGTGCAAGTCCACTCAGGTCCAAATTTTCCCATACGACATCAGCAAATCTCTTCCGTAGCCTGTGTCATGCCCGTTTAACCCTCTCTAGCGCCCAATATCCAGCCAAACAGAAGCCGCGAGGGCGAGTTGTGGCTCGGCATACCAGCTGCATAGCCCAGATAAAGCAACCTTACCTGCCGGAAAGCTCACTGATGGGACCATATCATACAGATAAAGACAAAGATCCCCGTATTGCCTTAACAGACTGTTAGGGCAAGTGATGTTAGCAAGCACCTATGAAGGCCGGCACGGCACACGAGGGGGTGGGAGGCCATCATCACGCACGACAGCCTTTGTCTCCCCAGTGGCGATGTTTACACACCACAGAAGGTACTTATTTGAGGCTGAGTCGCCCTAACGGAGGCCAAGGACCGGTTCAGATAATCGTCACTGGTGTTGGTCATGAGCGGGAATCGAACTCGGGTTCGCCGGGTTAGTAGCGCAGCGCGCTAACCGCGACACACACACAACCCACACATGTACATACATGTGCAGGAGAGGGGAGAAGAGATATCAGAATGACCTTCCCAAATAATTCATCAGGGAAGTTACTGACTTTGGCCTCAACCTATCCCTTATCCCCCAGATCTCACTGTTCTGTGTCATTAAACAAAAAACACTCAATTCTCTGTAATGGTAGTCAGACATTTTTAGCCTTTCATTTTTTTTTCTATAGAGGGAAACTTGGACCTGGTATTTTTTTTACAGAAAGCAAATCACCGCTCTTGTCACATTTTACCATTTTAAAACGTTTAATTCTTCACCATTTTTAACCATATTGTACAAATGGCATCATGTCATGAGCAGAATTATCCATGAGGATCTCTCGCACAGTGGTGCAACTGTTTGTGTTCGAGAACGGCCCACAGAAGCGGATATCACAGAGCTAAATCTGGGATATTTTCAATTGAGCTCTGGACACATTTTCTATTCCGTCAAAACTCTTTTCTACAGGAATGATTCAGGACAGTATGCTGTTGCGTGATTTATCTCATAATCTTATATATTTTTTTATCATATAATAAGCAAAAGAAGGACAACTTGCTGTACAAGGTTACAAACTTCGATTTAAAGCTTTCGTGACTGCAGGGATTCATCTTCTTGGTTCTTTAGGTAAAGTCACGTAGAAGGGAAATAATAAAATAATAAAAATAAAACATAATAAAATAAAATTATCACGACATGTCGGCCACAATGCAAGCAGCCGTCCTTAGGTGAGGATGGCTGCTTGCGTTGTGGCTGTTCTTCACGTGAGGACGGCTGCTTGCGTTGTGGCCGAAACGTCGTGAGAATTGTATTTTATTATGTTTTATTTTTATTATTTTATTATTTCCCTTCAACGTGACTTTACCGAAAGAACCAAGAAGAAGGTTACAAACCTTCACCAGTGGCGGTGAAGGTTTCACCGGGTAAAAATCAATATAAATAAAAGGTGGAAATTGGAGGTGGCCGAGTGGTTCAGAGGTCAGGGCACTGATCTGGCACCACTGTGTTCCAATATAGGCAGCTGCCTGTGATATCAACCGGGTTCTCCAGTGCATTGAGTTGATCGACTCCGCCCCTGTCAACCAATAACCGCAAGAACAAACAAAAAACCCCATCACATTAAATTTGGTACTGTACTTCATTTGGTTAAATTCCAGCTCTGAGAATTAAAACATTGCCTCCTTCACGCAGAGTGGGAGAGGAGGCTCTGCCCTGTGCTGTGTAGACAAAGAGGTGTATTTGAATGGATTTCCGAGGTTGCTCTATGATATCCGCTTTCCGGGGGCCGTCCGCTAACACACCAAGGGGAGAATTACTCTGCGGGAGAATGTGAATTGATTCTTCATGTCATGACGTGACGGCCGCAGCACAATCGGGATACAATCGGTGGGGGGGTCTGAGGGTTTGGGGGACGGGACAGGGGCAGGAATGACATATTTTTCCTAAATGTGGAAAGAAAAAAGCTGGGTAACAACTAACAAAAAAAATTGCCAAAAAATACTTTTAGTGCAAATAATTCACGAACAAAATAAATAAGTTAAAGAAAAGATGTCAATCTATTGCTACAGATGAACGAGCAGGTGGTCTCCTGCAATTGTGATTGCCTCTGATATCAGGGTTAGCAAGTTCAGGCCCCCTATTATTATTATACCGTGACATTTTCAGCAACGGCGCGCCACACAAAATGGACTGTATTTTAAGCCCCAATGTTCCGTTTCCTTCATTGAATTCGCGAAAGCTCCCACAAGAGTCATTAATAGAGTGCTTATTTATTGGGCTTAATCGTTTAAAATCGAAAAATGTAAGAGGAACGAGCAGAGAAATAAAGAGCCAACCCACAGCGGAGTGCTGTTGATGAAATGTGGGTCCCTATCGTTCCCGTGGGAACGCTGTTGGTCCAAGAGGGCTTTCTTAGTGGCCTGATTCCACATTCCATCAGGTTGGGAATAAGACAATCACTCAAGAGGTCGTTTAAGAATACACAACTTAAATGACTGACAAATTTATTCCTCGATAAAAAGGTTAACGTTCAAAGTTGAAACACCAGTTTCATCAGTAGTGATTACTCTGATATCTTTCATTGTATGTACATATGTAAATATAGCCATAATTGTATCAAAATATATACGTAAAGACATCTGGCTGGAGTGTAGTAATTCACTGACGAGTTTGATTGACATTTACAACATTTTAAAACCCTTTCAGTCCACTGCTGGATGAAGGCCTCCACACAATGTAATCAGTCATGAGGTTGTTTTTAAATCAGGACCGGTTCAGATGCCACTGGCCACTGATGATATCAAGGTCCGGGAATCAAACTCAGATGGCAGGGGTCATGGCCCAGTGCGCTAACCACTACACTACCGCTCCACCACAATGCTGTATGAATAAAGTCGCTGATTTTAGGGTCACTGCAACAGCATTAGCCATGAACAGTAAGCAAACCACTGGCTAGTGACATGGGTCATTACGTCACATCGTAATGACTGTCCATGCGACTGAGCACACCCTGGGCCCTCTAAGCAGTGCCAGCTACCATCTCATCCATCAAACCAAGCGGCGTCCTATGGGTAAAGCATTGGTCAGTTGAAAGTCAATGCAAATCTACTATTCTCAATGGGATTGGCAGATCAGTGCCAAATAGCATTCACTGACTGCTGGCAAACATAAACGAAAAGCTATCGTTAGCGTAAGGCAGGCGGTCATGTAGGAGAACGGTATCTGTAACGCGGTGGATTGGTGGCGCGGTGGTTAGCGCGACTTCGCCTCAATAGGCGGCCACAGACTCGCTGGCAACGTTTTAATATCTCTGCGCCAATGCCAAGAATGATGCAAGGTTCGTCAAAACCCAGTATTGTGCCAAGTTGGTGACAATGCTCTTGTGGAACGATGTCAGCATTATAACTGGTCGGAGCAGCAGTTAGCGGAGCCGGTGACCTGAGTTCGTTCCCATTCATGGCTGAGATCAGCGATGAGTGATATCTGAACGGGTGCTCGGCGCATACTTTTACCAACGTTCGCTCGCTGGTGAAGTATGGTCAAACAACCCCCATGACTGGAACGGTGTGAGAAAGCCTTCATTCAGCAGTGGATTAACAGAGGGAAACGTATACATGTACTTATATGTTCTGCATAAATGCAGTCCAATATGAGTTTTACTTTTTTTACTATTAACAGCAGATAGCTATTTTATCTTACAACGATTAATCCTATTATCTTAGCTTCTGCGTTTCAGAGAAAATTCAGTGATCTCACGTGGAAGCAAATGCACCCTACCATCCGTGCTTATCCGTGGCAATGAAAGGAGCAATTCGCAAAGATAACACTCAAATCCAGAATCCACCGCAGGTGTTCAGCACATCAGAGCAGATACGAGAAAGTGTAATGAATCAACAGATTAAATTATCTACAATGGGCAAACAAAGACAAAGATCCCCCGTATAGCCTTAATATAATGTTGGGGCAAGTGCTGTTAGCGAGCAGCACCTATGAAGGCCGGCACGACACATGAGGGGGTGGGTGGCCATAATCACGCCCAATCACCTTTGTCTCCCTAGTGGCGACGTTTTTACGCACTACACCAGGTACTCATTTAAGGCTGAGTCAACCTAGTGAAGGCCCAGGACCGGTTCAGATAATCGTCACAGATGTTGGCCGTGAGCGGGAATCAAACCCGGGTCGCCAGGTTCGTAGCGCAGCGAAATAACCGCTACACTACCGTTCCCAGACACACACACACACGTGAACACACACACACACGTGAACACACACACACACACGTGAACACACACATGTGACAACACACAACCGCACCTGCTTTGGGTAATCAGTAAAGCAAGCCATGGACTCCACTGCACAATGAAACAGGACTGGCCGTGTTCCACTCACTGCTGTGCAGGTCACTTACTGTAGTGGGGCGTGGGATGAAAACATTTAATAATCCCATAGCACATGCTCCTCCAGGCAAGGGCACAGCCCCACGTGACACCGAGGAAACGCAGACGATTCCGCAATCACTGTGTGCACCTGTGTGCAGAGTCGCATGCTTCTGAGGTTACACTCGAGCAGCAGATGAAGTTTGGCTCAGAGGGATTTATTCACACCTGGGAATCTGGTGAGATCCAGGAAACCTATGAATGCGCTGATGCATTTGTTAAGCTCAACAACAAAAGATAAAACATGTACCTAGTTTGCTCTATGGGCTATCCCCTGCCAACCTCTCCCCTCTCAACCTCACTCTACTCTCCTCCACACAAGAGTTGCCACCTGTTCTGGTTTTCCTAGGATCATCCTCTACTTGAGGTAGCTTTCCTGGAAAAATGTGTGAGTCTTTCCAGAGCACTGTAAGTCCAGGTTTGTGTCAGTTCCAACAAAATCATTCACCACTCAAGGTAATGGCATATAAGTGGAGTTCTCCCCTCTTCTGAAATTGCGAGATATTTCTTCTCACCATCATATGTTCTGGTTTTTTGTACCTCAGAGGTGGCAACCCCAATCCACCCACTCTGTCCCAGGCAACCTTCGCTCATCGGGAGGTCGCTCATTCTCCTCTGCTGTCCTCAGTCTGGGACTCCCTTCCCCCAGCCATCTGCTGATAACTCCCCAGCCCTGTCAAAGGCTAAGCTCAAGGTCCTCCTTTTTCCTCTTCCTATTGTAGTGACATGAAATGGGTCACTATGGCGCCTCGCGCTGGTTGCGGGCAGCCCTGTCTGCCAGCAGGTCACGTGATGAGCCGGAGAAAGGGATGTGGTGCAAAGGTGACAGAGGGGGCACGTGAGGTAAAGCCCGGAAACCTTCTAGTAGGTTCTAGAAAGGGGGCGTGGCCGAGGACGGAGCGAGGCCACTCTGGGTGGATTCAAGGAGTGGAACCGCCGTGCTGCTGGAGTCTTCGTCACCGTCTTCACCTCCTCGGCGTTGTTGATCAGGCAGCCTGTTAGCTGTCACTCCCTGTACCTGTGGAGGTTATAATAAATAGAGTGCCTCCTACTATTAGTGTCTCTGAGTGACTAACTACACTATGACTGACTGCTTCTCTCTATAAGATAGAAAAATGTCCACGTTTTCTCTTCAGCACATTGAGATGCGGTCACAGTTCGTTGAATTTAATTTGTAAACTGTAATTGTCTTGCAGGGTGAACAATAGAAGGAGCAAAGCTACCCAATGACCTCAGCAGCGAATATATTCATAACAAACACTCGCAACAAATAAACATGTTATTTAATTAAAAAAATAACAATGATTTCAATCTCTTCCTCATTCCACTATTGGATGAAGGCCTCCCCATGCAGTGACCTCACCACTCTGGTCAGCGTGGGTTGGATGAAGAGGTGGCGCATCTGACCGATTCAGCTATAATTTGACACTGATGCTGGCCGTGGCCTGGGAATTGAACTTGGGTCGCTGGTTTCATGGCACAGTACAAGAGCCACTCCACCCTACAATATCATTTTACACCGCTACGTTTACCCTCCGCTTTATATTTAACGGTGCTTCGTATTTTCCTTCCTCTGAATTCAAATTGGCGAGGATGGGAGTGATGTCGCGCTGAGTGTGAGCGCCCCTTGAAGCGTAAGCAGCTGTTGTCCAACAGGCGATCAGACAGCTGCAGAAAAACCGGCGCCGCTCAAGAACCACCGATGGCTTTCGGAGTGGTGGTGTGTTCAAGTTTCAAGTCACAAGTTGATTTTGTTGTACGTGTTGAACTTCTTTCGCACCGTACGTAGCCAACCATGCTAATCGGACGGTGCGGTGGGGGAAACGACAACAGACGCAACACAAGAAGCAGTTCTAAAGAAATGAGTTTTCAATCGAGATTATTTAAAAGCACATAGTGGCTTCTTAATATCGGAAGGAAGAGCGTTCCAGACGGCCGCAGAAGCGCATCTGAAAAGCGCCGCACCGCGCAGTGACCACCGTCTTTGTTCAACCGGCTGGATGAGATCTCAAGAGGCCAGGACGAGTCCGATTTGTAGGAGAGGTTTCGGGTCACCAAAGTGGCAAAAACCGCAAAAGCAAGACACAACGAAGCCAAGCGACGGACGAAACGCCATCGTTGGCTGTCACGCGATGGCCCGCGGCTGGCCGTCCACCAAGGCGTGGGGGCAGCCAATTCATTCATTCCCTGCGCGATGGCCTTGGGACTCAGCGGGGGTGTGCTTGTTAAATTAAGTAGCGCTGTTCACATGGAGGGAGGGCATCGCGGGAGGTGGAGTAAGGGAGGGGACATCGCCGAGCAAGGATGTTGCGTACACGTAGGTTGCTTGGAAACCTGTTGTATAACGATGGCTCTTTTGCGCAACTCTCCCGGGCGACGCGCCTTAGTGGCAGAGAACAGTTAAATTGCCCGCGATGAGACGAGTGCTCGTCGCCGTCATTATGCTGTCTCACTTTGGACAAAGGCAGCTGTGCCCACTGCACCCTTGTTCTCTCGCCTACGCTCGGCCACAACTGTGCACATTGTTGTTATTAATAGAACAAACCCGATTTCTTGGAACGGTCCACCTCTCCCCTACTGGTACGAGACGAGGCTCACTCTGTCCTTCCTCGTGTCCCACGCACATTGTTTGAAGCTCCTGGTCTTTAGAGTCCGCGCATTGTGCTAATGATGACATCCACTGTTGAGATCCCCCACCCAGGCTCCAGTAGACTCCACGGTTGGTTTAATCATGACATTCTGAGAAGTTCTCTTGAGCATTTCTGGACTGTTTTGATTGTTAGGGGACAGTTAGAAACATAGAAATAAAATGTCGTAACGCTTTAAGAGGGATATTTTTTTAAGACTGTGTATGTTAGGCCCACATCAAACAAGCCTTAATAAATCATCATTATTGGCTCCAACTGGTATTGAATAATATTGATAAACCACCACCACTCACCCCAGCTCCCTCACTCTCACCCACGCACCACCACCACACACCCCAGCTCCCCCACCTCTCACCCATGCACCACCACCACACACCCCAGCTCCCCCACTCTCACCCACGCACCATCACCACCGATCCCAGTACCCCCACTCTCACCATCGCCCCACCAACACCGATCCCCAATTCCCCCGCTCACACCCACCCACCCACGCACCAGCAGCAGCAGCAGCACTGACCTGCTCTCGCAGTAGGAGACGCGCAGCTCGAGGTTGAGCTTGGTGACGAACATGTGGCAGTCGATGCGCACCTCGCTGAGCGTGGGAGGCGGCAGCGCGTGTGCCACGGCCACCAGGCCCAGCAAGGGGTGCTCGACCGGCGGTGACGGGCACGGGGACGCGGGGGAGGCTGGCGCCTGCCCGCCGCCACCACCGCCGCCGCTGCTGCTGCTGCGTCGCCGCAGCCGGGCGGCCAGGTGGATGACCTGCGCGCACGTGCGTGTGTGTGTGTGTGCACACGTGTGTACGTGTGTGTGCGTAAGCGCGTGTGTGTGTGTGTGCACACGTGTGTGTGTGTGTAAGCGCGTGTGTGTGTGTGTGCGTAAGCGCGTGTGTGTGTGTGCGTAAGCGCGCGTGTGTGTACGTAAGCGCGCGTGTGTGTGTGCGTAAGCGTGGGTGTGTGTGCGTGTGAAAAGAACGTTAGTGTCGCGGTTAGCGTGCTCGAGTTCGATTCCCGCTTATGGCCACCAACACCAGCGACGATTATCTGAAGCGGCCCTGGGCATCCTCTAGGTCGACTCAGCCTCAAATGAGTACCTGGTACGGTGTGTAAAGATTGCCACCTGGGAGACAAAGGTGGCTGGACATGATGCTGACCATCCACCCTTCATAGGTGCTCGCTAACAGCACTTGCCCCAAGAGTATGTTAAGGCTCGACGGGAAATCTCTGTCTCTTGTGTGTGCGCACACGCGTGTACGCATGCACATACACACATGTGTGTGTACGTGTGTATGTGCATGCGTACACGTGTGCCCGTGTGTTGGGTGAGACAGATGTGAGCTGCGTGGCCGGTTGGTTGATCGTGGGCAGATTCGGATACCTGATGCACAAATTGGAAAATTAAAAACTCCCCAGTGTCCGATTGTGGTCCTCTAGAACAGACCTACAACATACAATGGACGCAATGGCCCCGATCCACAAATACGAAGGGGACATCACAGCGATACAGAACTCCGCTGCTCCTTATCTCGCTCGACCACATGAATGTGAAATCGTAGTTGTTGCACTGCATCCACATCGGCCGTACGAAAGAATAAGACGAAGACCCCACCGGCACGCGACTAACTGTGGCATTCCCCTGTATGCCGCTGGGTGGGCCGAGGCGGGGCGGGCGAGAGAGGGGGATTTAAGAAACTCGCCACCATTGCGTCAACTAGTCGCACTGGGAGATGGAGTCAAACTGACCACTGGACGGCAAGCCGCAGTGTGCTCGTCGACAATGACACTGCGGGCAGAAAACGTCCTCCCTTCCCTTCACTTTCATGTTTAATACTTTGCATGTTTTGTCCAGAAGGGGGCGCCAGTAATACTTCGACGTACACCGGGCTTCAGAACCCCCCGCGCCGCCCCCCCCCACCATGATCGGCATCCTCCTGTTCAGCGACTTTTTTCGAAGCGGCTCTTTCCATCGGATACAATCGCGGGAGGTATTCCCACCAAGGAGCTCCACATCCGCACGTACGTATCGCCGCGACCTCGGTGGATGCGTGCCATCCGCTTGCCGTTCGCCGGTTCCCAGAACTTTTCTCGTGGAAATATATCTCATGATGAGAATATTTATTTATAAACTGGAGGAATCCGTTGAGCTATAAAGCTATTTTCCATAGATGTCCAGTTGGGCCGGATAAGAACGTCAGAACAACAAACAGTACAAAAATACGATGGCAGTGCAAAGTCAAAAGGTAAACAAATCACCCAAATACTCTCTTATTTCTGTTATTTTTATTATTATTTTCTTTGAACCTATCTACGTGACTTTGCCCAAAGACCCAATAATATGAAATCCTGCAGTCACGAAAGCTTTAAGTCAAGAAATCACCCAAACACAACAAAACCATCTCCAGCCTACCAGATAAAGGTATCTTCTTGGTTCTTTCGGTAAAGTCACGTAGAAGGGAAGCAATAAAATAATAAAAATAAAACATAATAAAATAAAATAATTCTCACGACGTTTCGGCCACAACGCAGCTTCTTCACCTGAGGACGGCTGCTTGCGTTATGGCCGAAACGTCGTGAGAATTATTTTATTTTATTATGTTTTATTTTTATTATTTTATTGCTTCCCTTCTACGTGACTTTACCGAAACAACCAAGAAGATGGATCCCTGCAGTCACGAAAGCTTTAAATCGAAACAGATAAAGGTATTCACTTTTTTTTCAAAAGCGACCGAGCCGCAAATGATAGCTCAACAAAATGCCTCATTATTTGAACATTTATACCAGCAACATAATCAAAATAGTATAAACGCGTGTTTCTGGTAGCATGCGTGATACGATATAAGGGATTTAAAAAAAAATATAGAACTGTTAAGGTAAATGAGAAATAAATAACAACTATACGAACAGCACCAGGAATAGCGTGTCCTTTGGTGATATTCATTTGCTGCTGCTGCTGCGGTGCCGTACTTGTTACTAACAATGCGGCAAGTGAAGCATTAAAGTAATGAAGAATAGCCAAGAATAATACATTAAAATGGCATCATGAATATAAAAAAAAAATTTGGTGCAACAAAAAACAATATTGCTTGATATTAATTTGTTACCCGTAATTATGCAGTCGCTTTGCCGTGTACGAAATGGAATAAATGCATTTATAATACGAGTCGTTGTATCTGGGAAAGAAAATAAAGTGTGGATCTGCAGACATTTCTAGAACATTACTTTCTTAAAATCTGTTGACTACCTCTTTTTACGTGCACGGGACGACGATGTGCTCCAGACTGGCCGCATTTGTAAACACGAGGTCAACTAAATTTGAAGCTTTCGTGACTGCAAGGATTCATACTCTTAGGTTTATTCGGTAAAGTCACGTAGGTACTAAAATAAAATAAATAATAAATAATATAAATAATAATAATAGAAATAAAATAATAAATCATTTTATTTTTTACCTACGTGACTTTACCAAAAAAACCTAAGAGTACGAGGTCAACTATGGCAGGAGTTGAGTCTCTCCATGGGACAAGCACTGTTGACTTCTCCATAAAGTGGTATGTATTTTGTCAACCCCGGAGGGATGATTGGCTGAGTCAACCATCTCAACCAGGATTTGGAACTCACAAAATTTGGCTCGCGAGACCCTCACCCTACGTTGTTTAGCAATTCGTGTATGGATTTGAATATTCTACATTTGTTTTAATTATATTTTATTTTCTCTGGATTGTGTTGTGTCAGACGTTGTAAAGCACACGACATTTCAGATGCTGCATACACATTACATTGCTATAATTATATAAACACACTAACTTATTTTGTGAACTACAAATGGAAATAACAATTCGGGGCTGCAATTGTAGTGGTTTCAAAACACAGGCTGCATTAATTTTACTCACCACCACTAGCATCATCATCATCATCATTTTAAAACGCATTGTTTCAAACGTGAATTAAACATCAACGAGTTGTCAGCTAATGTTCTGACATAGCGGCAATGTGGTGCATGATTACGTTCAAGCTATCTGAGCAACAACGTATGCCTATGTAAACCAATTATATATATGCATCCTACTGTAATGCTATAGATAGGTAAAGGTGCAGCCCTTGCAATTGCTTTCTCATGCCACCACTGGTGCAAGGACCCCCACCAACGGAGGCCCAAGAGAGCCCCAGCTAGAGGGCATTGTTGGACCAGTCTTCCTCACTTATCAGACATCTTGGATAAGGTGGAAGCACCGACGCTTGACCCCACCACATCCAAACCTGTCCATTGACCTATGGGTGGTACTGATTTGCCGACTGACTCCCGGCGATTTAATTAATCGTCGCAATTCGATTCAACACTTAATCATTTTCTTAACCCTGCGGTGAACGGTAGCGCCTCCAGGGAATGCAACGGGCCGCTTAAACCCAATTGCTATACAACATAGGGCAATCGTGATGCATCAAAGACGCGATCGCGATCCAACCCGCGTATCGCGATCTTGAGAAATCAATAACAATCAACAAATCGATGCTTCATTCCAACCCCGTGAGCAAACTACTCTCTCTCTCCCAGGCGGCGCGCACGGGGCGAGGTGAACGCCGCGTGAGGTCACGTGCACCGCCGACGGCAGCTCGCAAACGCCTCCCGGCGCACGACGGAGACGCCGCAAAAGGGACGCTCTCCAAACGCCAGTGCCGGATGATCCTAGTAGCACAAGTAGCTACAGATGATGCTACGGGCCCCGCACTTTCAAGGGCCCCGCACTTTCAAGGGCCCCGCACTTTCAAGGGCCCCGCACTTTCAAGGGCCCCGCACTTTCAAGGGCCCCGCGCTAAATGCGTTCAAGCTATCAATTCCGGTTCAGTGATTCTGCACTTGCTCTATGACTATAGTACTATACTGCCTTCAACTTTGATGAACGTCTGGGTGTTTAAGGTTAGCGATTTCTCGTATTATCTGGCTGTATAGCAAATGAAAAATACAATTGCTTTACTATGCAAGTAAAAATATACGTGTTTTAATATTTACTTTTTTTTTATTTAGGGCCCCTTAAAAATATGCTACAGGCCCCGCACTAGCTTAATCAGGCACTGCCAAACACCCGAGTAATAAGGGCTTGTCACACGTGCAAACACAGAGCGTGGCCAATAAGCGAGAGAGAGAGAGGGGAGCGGTGCACAGATTGGCCCAGGTTTCATCTCTGCACATTACGTTTATGCACGGCGCCTGCCTTGAAGGCCCATTTGCCATAAAGGCACCACCACCACATTGCGATGCCACTTTTAACCTGGCAAAACAATCAAAAAGGCCCGGTCATGGTGAAGCCGAGAGCCACGCAAAAGTTATACTCAGGGCTTGATTCTCAGCGAACATATTTCTAAATACCTGTCCATGCGATGGATGTGGCATGCTGAAATTATCCCCGGAACAGCACTCTGCACTCTGCCAGCTGAAATTAAGCACCGGTTATATGAATGGACCCAGCTGCTACAAATGTGTTTGAAAATGAAGCGACGTGAAACTGCTGCAGGTTGGCCGCTTTGTTTGAAGATTTGGCTGGAACGACTGCATTTGGGTGCCTCCCAATGGGCCGATGTGCTTTGCATGTCTCCTCCGACTGCTCTCATGATCCAAGTGTGGATGTCGGCAAGGTCACGGTGACATCGCGGACGACGTCGCCATCGCTTCCTTCCATCTGACAGATATCTCTCCGCGATTGCACAGCCAAGGCCTGCCTGGCGCGGTCTGCCCTCACAAGCGGAGGTCACGTGGCTGAGGGGTCAGAGCACTGAGCTGGCACTGCTGAGATCCTGGATTGGAACCCAGGTTATCAAGTGAAGCGAGCTTATGATCTCAGCAAAGTGAGCAATAATTGTACGAAGAGACCCATTGTATTAACAAAAAAAATTTCACTTAATGTGGCAAACATTCCGGCTCCGACGCTTTAAAATTGTTGGTTTGATTGACAGTGCGATTGAAACTCTTCGACGGGCATATACTCGGCGTGACCCTAGTGTGGATAAAGAGGCCTCAGAATTATAATATGTATTTATACTGGAGGAATCCGATGATCCACAAAGCTCTTTTTCACAGACGAGCGGCAGGCCTACTAACGTGATCTCAAGTAGTTCATCTTCTGCGGCCGTTCTCCGACACAAGGCGGTGCAAGGCTCTGTTCTGTTGTGGACGGAACGTTTCTTGAGTCTAATGACGTGACACCGATTCCACAAATGGTCCACGGATGTGATCTCTTTATTAACGGTCTGTTCTCATAGTATGTCATCATCACGTCTCCGTGCCTTTCCCCCCGTTCGTCAGTGACCTCTGTGTGCCACTCCAATGCCTGTCTCAGTAACCCGCTCTCCTCCACCCATCACAACCTCCTCTTATCGTTTACACATGTAACACTGTTTTACCACATTCTATTACAACCTTCCAAGTTGCTTACCCTGCACTCCCATGAAATCCCAATCATCCTACTCGTGCTCCTGCATTCAAGGAAGGAAGATGATTTTCTCCTTGCTGAGGTAAAGTCCAACGATCTGATGCGTACAGTAACACAGAGATTGCTCTTTCCTCACACACCTGTCTTGAAAAAAAATGATCTCTTCGCTCTCCCCGAGTGGTATATGTAGTCCATCAAAACCCGAGCCTGCAGATGCAATACATCTCTTGATTTATTTATCACCCCCCCCGCCCGCCCGCCTCCTTCCGCCCGGTGAGGCGCACATTCTCACTTCCTACTGACACCCTGCGATAAAGGTAAACACATCGGGTTCCTTTTTAGTTGCCAGAGTAAAACAAACAAACAAATAAAATGGCACCCGTCATTTCAGGGTCACGTAAAGGAGACGCTCTGCACCGTCGATCGCTCTCTCGCTCGCTCGCTCGCCGACTCATCAACCTGAGCGGAAATTCAAAAACTCTGGGCAAAAGTCGCGCGAGTCGCGACCAATAACTAATCTCGAGTCGCCGATCGCGGCAATCGATCGACGGCAAAAAAATAAATCGGCATCCTTAGCGGTGGGCACGCAGCACAAGCGTCCGCCACTCAGCGCGCTGCTCGCCTCTCCGTGCGAGCACAACAACCGTGGGATTGCCCCCACCCCTCCACCCCCGCGGTAATAGAAGTAATTTCATTGCCAATAACGGATTGCATTTTAGGTCTGACGGGTGAGATTAAAAGACACAAGTGTCAAGTCAGCAGAAGGAAAAAAAATAAATACAAAACAATTCGGCCGCGCGGCGCCACGCCGTGTCGCGGCCCTGACCTTGTAGCCGGAGGATTTGATGTGCACGCCTCGTTTGGTGAGCGTCGATTTCATTCGGATGAAGAAGGATCGCTCCAGGACGCAATCGGAGGCGGAGGCGGCGGCGGCGGCGAGGGACGACGGCGAGGCCGGAGAATCTGCGAGGGGGTTGGGGGGCGGAGAAAGGGTGGGGGGTCGAGATAAGAGTGCGGACATCACAAGTGCTGGTACGTGCGTGGAGACGGAGCAGGAGGGAGAGGGAGGGAGGGAGCGAGATGGAGGGCTTCCCCTTGTCTTGATTCTCCAAATGCCGGCGCCCGCCGTTTTGAAAACGGAACCGAAAGCGAAAGAGAATAAGCACTTGAAATAAATCACATCAAGGGGTTTGTTGTTGTTGTTGTTGCTGCCACTGTTCTGGGCTAAGTACTTTTCATCCGGGTGAAATAGACATCCGAATAATAATAACGCGGTGGGGCACGTGCTGGCTGTGTGCGCTTCGCTCGTCGGCTGTGCTGTATGCACGCATTTGTGTGCGCATCGCAACACCATTCTTGTACCGTTTACATGCCTCTGACCAAATGATGGAAGCTTAACACGATTGGGCCTGGATGATGCTTGAATGTACGTGTGTACGTTCAACTTCTTTTGCACCGTACGTAGCCAACCGTGCTAATCTGTGGTGCGGAGGGAAGAACAAACTAGACGCAAAAAAAAATCAGTTGTAAAGAAATTAGTTTTCTATATAGATTTAAAAGTGCATCGCTCCAGTGGCTTCCTGAATGAGTGACCTCCATGAACAAACAGCTTGGCTGTGGAGCCACGTGATGGGCAGTCGAGCGCCGTGCAGCAAACTACATCATTGTGCTTCTTCACTTCCAAGTCTACGCTCTCAACCTTCATCAAGCTGCACACATCGGCGTGGTCGAGTGAGATCAAACAACTCCCAAAACCCACGGGGTGTAGAGGAGGCCCCTCAATCAGCAGAGGATCGACAGACGGCTGCTCGTGTACGTTGTTTGCATCTTAAATCATATACTAAAGAAGGAAGGAAAGCAAATGGATATTCTACAAAGAGAAAGATAAAAACAACGAATCACATTTGTACGCAAAATTATGTTGCCGTGATTCACAAATTTCTTTGTAGTCGGTTTCAATCATTACATTGTTCGAGGGTAAATGTATGCGTGCATGTGTGAATGTTACCTTCCTCGTAATTTTCCGTAACGTCACTTACCCACAAGTCGGTTACACTGATATAAAATGTAGGGCTTTTATCTTCCAAACAATTACATAAGCAGATCTCCAATTTACATGCTTTGTAAACACGCAGATTAAATCATGCATGCTATGGGAATTCACTGGGTAAAGCATTACAATTTTACAACCGCCCTGAAAAGTTTTAGATAAAACTTCTTTAAAAAGAGGACAGACGCTGTATGCGGTGCGATAGCGATGAGATAAAAAAAAACCCAACCCAAAGACAATTAAAGAACCCTTCCGTAGCAGATTAATATGCATAGAATTTCCAATAGCAGTTGGGGTTGGGGAGGGGAACGGCTTGGGTTGATAATCTATTAATTAAACGTGTATAATGCTGATCTATATGCACGACCAACCTTTGAACGCCACCGCCTGTGTGGACACTTACCCAGCCAATTAGAGTGGCCCACATTCCATTCTTTCGGAGCTCTCCGGCCTCTCGCCTTCGCGTTATTAAAGATGCTCATGACGGTGAAACTGCTATTTTTTCCTGAGCACATTCTCCCAATTGTGGCAAAGGGCAGAGCTGCACCCTCGCACGGCCTACGCGGACGCAGCGCGCGAGCTGCCGCGTTCCGCGCGTGCCCGTTTTCACGTCTGGCGCACTCTGTAAGGTCGACTCGGCCTTAAGTGAGTACCTGGCGCGGTGTGTTAAACAACAACAAAATCAGCAGTGGAGAAATAAAGACGGCCGGGCGTGGTGCTGGCCACCCACCCTCTCGCGCGCCATTGCCAGCTTTAATAGGTGCTCGCTAACAGCACTTGCACCGACAGTCCGTTAAAGTCTATACGGGGCATCTTTGCCTTTGTGTTGAGGGTTGCCACCTCCGAGGTTACAAGTAACCAGGGTCTAATCATGGGAAGGATAGCTCACAATACCAGAAGTGGGGAGCGCTCCATGTAAATGGATTGCCTTGAATGGTGTCACAATTTTACTATTGCATCATCACTGCCAAAACACCCCTCGGACATGTGGGCGAAGAGTTGCCGATTTTGCCAGGACAGCAGCTAACCAAACAAAAGAGCTCCCTCGTTGTTGCGCTCTGAAGAAGGGCCATTGCCCGGAACGTCACCTGTGCATATATTGTTCCTTTTAAGGCCACAGTGTTCGCGACGAATGTATTTGTTGTTGTTGCTGCTGTTATGTGTGCTCGTGCACCACTGCCAACGCAGCAGCAGCAACATCAGCATCACCAAGCAATGTGATCCTGGAAAAACCAGGACAGGTGGCAACTCCAGTGCGTGCGTGTGTGTGCGTGTTTCATGTGTGCGCGCAAAGGTATATGTGGGTGTTTTTTTTGTTTCCCCGGGATATTTTCCCAAGAGCCGTGAAAACTTTATCTGATGGCTGGGCCAAATGCATTACCGAACGGAGTGCTTAAAATAGCCGGGAAACACACCGAGGAATAGCAGAGACAATTACGGAAAGTCAATAAAAAAACTCGGGCCTCAAACAGGTTGTGCTGGCTCATCAGATAGAGCAAGGCCTTGCATCCCAATAGCCGATGAGCTCCGGAGAAGGAGGCAATACCTTACTCTTAGTTTTTTCGGTTAAGTCACGTAGGTAAAAAAAATGCAATTTAAATTAATAAAATAATAATAAAAAATCACGACGTTTCGGAGGCAACACAAGTCTCCGTCATCAGGTGGGACCGTCACAGCCAGATTTGCTGTATCAAGTGAGGCAAGTGAGGCTTGATGCAGCAAATCTGGCTGTGACGGTCCCACCTGATGACGGAGACTTGTGTTGCCTCCGAAACGTCGTGATTTTTTATTGTTTTATTTTTATTAATTTTTATTTCATTTTTTTACCTACGTGACTTTACCGAAAAAACTAAGAGTATGAATCCTTGCAGTCACGAAAGCTTCAAATCTAGAATTAGGCAATACCTTCCCTTGCAACTCATCGGCAACGTCACGTGACTGCTGAGACTGGAGGTGCCCTTGTTTTCACCCGACATGCCTTGGCGCGATACGGCATTGGCAGTGGCGCAGTTGGAGAAACAGCCAAATGTCAACAAATGTGTCAATAACCCTCACCCTGAAATAGAGAATATCTATACGTGATGAGACGTTTCAGCCAAAAGCCCTCCTTCCAAGTCAATTTATATCCATGCTCTTTGTTTGTGTTGCGCAGAAAGAGCCACTGCCACAAAAGATCACCTATTGTATTTAATTAAAATTTTTTTACGGGAGTTACTAACATATATTTGTACTTGGTTTTGTTAACATTTGATACAGAACGTTGACACAGGCAGTGTTGAAAGGGGGTGGGGGGGGGGAGAATATATGCAAAACAAATCATTCATCGCGGGGTTTACAACCTAATTTGTTGTAAGAAGAAATAACGGGTTGAGAAATGTTCATTTATTCACCACAGTGAAATGTGTGTTGTGTCATACATTGTAGATTTCCTCGGGCAGGAGAAATATAATGGCAATTCAGCAATGCATGGACACACACGCGACTCAAATACACACACACAACTACATATTCTGGAAGAAGAAAAAAAAGCTGTGAATAAATAGCAAACGTCTATATTATTTGCCAAAAATATATATTTTCCAAAGCCATGCAAAATATTCCTTGTGAAAAAATGTATCGTGTTTCTCCATAAACCGTAATAGTTTTTTTTTTTGTGGTTGTCCCAATTTTAAATATCTGTTTCAGACACACTGTACATACTGGACATAAACTATTTTACTTTACCGGGGGTCTTAAATTTCTAATATATAGCTTCCATCATTTCGGTGGCGGTCTGCTCGGGCTAATAGCAAATGGATTTCACCATGTCAAATTGTGGTTATTAAACATACACCGGGAGAGCAAGCAGGGTAGCTCACTTAATCTCTCAGTGGTCAGCTTAGGTTTGACTCTTGCACGCTCCACATTCTCTCCCTCCGGCTCGCGACCGTTAAAACCTCCGCACAGCTTCCTTGCACATCCAACCGCTGTCCGTGGCTTTAGTGAATGTAACAATTTCAAGGTTGTTAAGAAATAATCCCGAACGTTGAACGGCACACACACACACAAAAAAAACCCGTCGTTCCTATCACAAATAATAATTGCTGTCCAAAAACATTACTCGCAAATTTCCCTCCCTGACAGTCTATCGGCCTCTGGGGGACCAGAGGGTTTATCATGTTTTATGTTTATTTTCAATAACGGGACGCCAAGGATAAAATGCAGTGATGCATGGCTCGCAGATCTTACAGACGTGTCAACCTGCATTATTTCACTAAGCGCGAAGAGCACTTTTTTTCTTCCTGCCTTTCGGTTAATTCCCCGTGCCCCCCACCCCCCGTAGGATGCAGAACCACGACCGTGGCGTCCTCAACATAAAACCTCAACGGTTCACAGCGCCGCCGCTGCCACCGGCGGTAAGTCGTCGGTCAGGCGGGTGGGTGCGGTGCCTCTCCTGAAAGAACCGAAACAAAATAACCGCAAACCAAAACAATCAGCTCCGACCACTCGCAATAACGAACCGGCAGTGTAAACAGCGGCAACATTCGTCACGCGAACCAATGTTCTCACCCCCCCCCAACCCGCCCACTTTCGCCCGTGGCTTCCGTTGAATCACGGTGGCTAATCTGCAGGAATCGGCCGCACGGAGTAAAATTGATAACATTTCACGTAACAGAGCTGTAGGGTTAAGCATTGCCAGCCGCTCTCCAGAAAAAGGCACCCGAGGTTAATTGGCTCCTTGGAGACAAATGGCGCGTCGCACTAAAAGGAAGGCACGATCGTGTCCAGGTGTGTGCGTGAGCGAGAGGGGAGGGTTCCGCACACTGGTGCAGAGAAGCTCATTCGCTGTCGTTCTGTAACAGGACCGTAGGGGGGAAGGCGGCCTGTAAGCGATGAGGCGGTGTGATGCTTGCCGTGTGACGCTTGCAGTGCTCATGCAACCTAACAGCGAACATCATTCCCCGCAGTTGCTTTGCGCCGGCAGAGCGCACATCCGCTGCCTGCCTTGCAGCGTGGCGCGCGGTTGGATATTGCAACGACGTAATGATACAAAATACATTCCAGTCATTCTCAATCCACAGGTGAATGAAGTTATCCCACCTGTTTAGTCATTTGTCATGCAGTTCTTGGGTTGTACTTATTTGCTGCTCAACAATGCGTGTGCGAAGGCACAGGGATGCCCAGGAGCTCCTGTATAATAGAAGTGGGAGATATTTTCAGGGTGTCCCATAATAAATACACAGCCCTTGTGTGAATCCACTGCTGGAAGAAGACCTCCCCCATGCCATGCAGATCATGGCGGGGGTGCAGTTTGACCATACTTCGCCACGCTGGTCAGTGCGGGTTGCTGAAGTGGGAGGGAGGGCACAAACTGGTTCTCATGTCACCGGATACCGATGCTAGCCGTGGTCGGGAATGGAACTTGGGTTGGGGTTGAAGCGAGCTTAACTGTCCTGTCACCGCTCCAGCAGGGGATATTGTATAAGCAGTGGCTTAATAGTGTAGCTCTGTCCTGTGGTCACATAACCTTCAGTGTCGTGCGTGACCTTGCTTATAACCCAGACGTACAGATTTGCTATCTGTTTGACATTTATTTTATGGAGAGACACATTTCACCGGATCCATTAGAATAGGCAGGATAGGTCAAAAACTGGGTTGAGCTAACAAGATGCATTGGGGCCCACACCCGGGAGAAAGTAGTAGCCGGTGAATTAATAATTAAAACGAAAGCACGAGGCAAATGATGCTAGATGTAAAGGGCATGGTGGATTGATGCATTACTAATGATCTGACTACTCAGACAGGCACACCGCAGACGCGAACCAATTTAATACAGTACAATGCAGTTTGCTTTACGGAGCATCTAATTGCAACTGAATCTTAGGACGTTGTTCAAAACAATGGGGCGTGTGCATCAAGGGTAAAAAAAGAAGCAGGCATATGCATACATTATTTTTTTAAGCGAAAAAAAAGAGTCAGTAATAGGCACAGGAAGAGAACGAGGTCTTGAACCTGGACTTGCACAGGGGCAGGGAGTCAACATCACCGATGGCAGGTGAAAGGGAACGCATACTAGAGGATTCTAAGCTGCCTTGAAATACAATTCTAAATTCCACCAATGGATAATGGGCTCCCCACACCATGTCGGTCGTGAGGTATTTTTGTTCGTATCGTGCTCCACCTTACCGGTCAGTGCGGGTTGGTGAACAGGGGTGAGAGGGCAGGACCGGTTCGAATTTCGCTCACCACCGATCCGCCACGAGTGAAGAGGAGTAACTAAACCAGTGTTGGGCAAGTTAGTGAAGCCTCGCAAACAGCTGCCCAACCCGTGATGGAGAGGTGATGTTTGCTCTTCTCGATAACCGTGAACTCAGGGGGTGGGGGGGTGGGAGGAGAGGTGGGGGGGGGAAAGGTGGGGGGAGAGGTGGTGGGGGGAGAGGTGGGGGGGGAGAGGTGGTGAGGGGAGAGGTGGGGGGCGAGAGGTGGGGGGGAGAGGTGGGGGGGGGAGAGATGGGGGAGAGGTGGGGGGAGAGGTGGTGGGGGAGAGGTGGGGGGAGAGGTGGTGGGGGGAGAGGTGGGGGGAAAGGTGGGGGGGAGAGGTGGCGGGGGAGAGGTGGGAGGAGAGAGGTGGGGGGAGAGATGGGGGAGATGTGGGGGGAGAGGTGGTGGCGGAGAGGTGGTGGGGGGAGAGGTGGTGGGAGGGAAAGGTGGGGGGGAGAGGTGGGGGAGGAGAAGTGGGGGAAGAGGTGGTGGGGGAGAGGTGGGAGAGGAGAGGTGGGGGGAGAGGTGGTGGGGGGAGAGGTGGGGGGGAGAGGTGGGGGGAAAGAGGTGGGGGGGGGAGATATAACCCACCATTGGCCGCCACCTACCAAGCTTGCCTGTGTCGGGAGTTTCCGGCGGAGACGGCGGCGGAGAATCGACGAGGCTCGCGTCGTCGCCGCAGTCGTCGTCGTCGTCGTCTTCCTCCACCTCCTCCTCCTCCTCCGCCGAGTCGGCCTTGACCCTCTCCCTTGCCGAGCGGCGGTGGCGGCTCCCGGGGCGGCCCCTCGTCGCCCTCCTCCTCCTCCTCCGGCCTCCTCTCCTCCCGGCGGTGGCGGCCTTTGGGGCCGGGGCCTCCGAGTCGGAGAGCGCGAGGAGGGCCCCGGGCCGGCGGCGCCGCGTCGGGGCCGCGCCGCGGGACGCCGCCGCCCCGGGGAGCCGCAGGCCGAGCTGCTCGGCGAGCTCGGCGTGGTCGGCGGGGTGGACATACTCGAACGCGCTGCTCCCCGTCAGTTCCACCTGCGATGAGGGCGAGGAGGAGCGACATTAATGAGGAGCGACGTGTGTGACGAGCGTTAGTGGATTGGCAGGTCAAGTGCGGGTAGTCACACCACTTACAAGACGTCTGGCCAGCCGCTTAGGGTCGACCAAGTTACTCCCTTGTCGGGTTGCTTCAGAGCTACCTCGAGTAGAGACCAATCTGCCAGCAGTGGTGTGAGCAATCAATTGCAGGGCTGCAACTTTATATTCTTAGGTTTTTTTCGGTAAAGTCACGTAGGTAAAAAATTTTAATTAATAAAAGTAAAATATAATAAAAATCACGACGTTTCGAAGGCAACACAAGCCTCCGTCTTCACCGAAAAAACCTAAGAATATGAATCCTTGCAGTCACGTAAGCTTCAAATCTAGAATTAGCTGCACCTTTAGTTTGCAAATGCTCTAATATCTCATTGATGCTGTACAGAAACAGTGGGCATATTTACGTTGCAGAGAGAGACAGTCAGTCATAGGCTGGGCCTGAATTTGAACAGGGTCAGGGATTCGACAGCACGGACGGCTGGAGGATGGGAGTTTGGAAATGTGGCGACCTCTCACTGGGCGAAGGTGGACTGGGAGCTTTCACAGCAAGCCTTGGTTGCCGATGCATCCAGCACAAACATTAAATGTGATTCATCTTCTTGGTTCTTTCGGTAAAGTCACGTAGAAGGGAAGTAATAAAAAAAATGAAAATATTTTTATTTTATTACTTCCCTTCTACGTGACTTTACCGAAAGAACCAAGAAGATGAATCCCTGCAGTCACGAAAGCTTTAAATCAAAAATTAAATGTGATTTAAAAAATATATATATATAACCTGCCCTCTTCCAACATACACACTCAGCGTCTGTTTCTTGGATGAGGTCGACAATTTTTTCTTGCCACGGTCTATTCTGAAATTTCAAGTTTCTCGTCCAATCCCGTTAGGGAAATTTTCAGCACGTTCCGCAGGAATTTATATTCTAACGCCAGGAGCTCTTTTTCCCTCTTCTTGCAGATGCTTTGTTTAAGTCAAAAAAATTGAAGGGCAAGAAATGTGACAAAAAAAAGCTGAATAAACTGGCAGGGGAGGTACATTTTGCATCGTCAGTGTTTTTGAAAGTTATATATTTACTTTTATTCATAGTCAGGTGAACACATTTTTAGATGTAATGTTTCTTTTGCAAGAGATGCTCGAGACAGCGGAGGGATATGAGAATCTGACACAGCTTCCTGAATTGCGAAAATATGTTTTGCCCCACTAAGCACAATGACAACATGTATAAATGTTTATCGGTGGTCGGGTGCTTTAAGGGTCAGCACACTGAGCTGGCACCACTTAGAGCCTGGGTTTGAATCGAGGTAGTCACTTATGATTAAACCGGGTTCTCAAGTGCAGTGATGGTCTCAGTCAACAATGACTCCATAACCCCCCCCAATTATATTAACGTACTAAGTTGTGGCTTTCACATCATTTGGATAAATTCCAACTGTTAATATACAAAAAAGTGTTATCACCATGCAGCAAACATTTCTGTTTATAGCAGTATGTGTCAAAATCCACCCCCCTGATGTGTAAATGAAAACGATAATTTAAAGGAAATTCAGAATAGATTCAGTGAAATCTCCAGTAAACCATCATCTAACACGAGGGGTTGCACTGCTCTGAGAATGTTCAAGATGGACACTTGCTCCCCTGACAGGATGCTGCTCGCGCAATGGGATTCAGTCGTGGGATCAACGATTACCTCCATGAAACAATTGTCAAACAATTGTTTTATTTTTATTATTGTATTATTTCCCTTCTACGTGACTTTACCGAAAGAACCAAGAAGATGAATCCCTGCAGTCACGAAAACTTTACATCGAAATTTAATTGTCAAAGCCTCAAAATTTGGGAAACAAAAGTCTGATTCAGTGGCTGATAATGCTTTGATAGCATTGTCATTAACAATTCCTCACAACTTGCCCTTCTTCAGGACAGAGAGACAAAAAGTAGAGCTTGGACGATTTTAACCAATTCAGTTGATTAATCGTCTCAAAAATTTAAATCGACTGCATAAAAAAATGGGGGCAATGCTAAAATCCTGCCTGCCGAAGGCAGGAAACCTCCTACAAGCCATGTGACATGGCTAATAATACCGATTACATCACCAAGCCCCGTCTTTCACCTCCCGTCCAGCGGCACACGTACTGAAGGGTCAAGGTTCAAGGCTCAATTACTCCGCAGAGTTTGTGGGGAGCGGAAGCCTCCGCGAACGAATAGCCTTGCAGCAGGGTTCAAACTGCCAACGTTGACCACACTTCTCAACAGGGGCAGCGTTTACACAATTGTGTCAAGGGTCTCATCGTCCCAAATCCCAGGATATATTTGACTACGGAAGAGGGCAGTGACCACTGTCACTGTGGGTACTGTTAGTGTCGGGCTGCCGTGGTGGCGAGATGTTAAATCCCTCACCTAGAATGCAGGAGGGTTCAATCCCGACCCTGACGCCTGTATATTTGGAGTTTGTATGTTCTCCAGCGTGGCAATAGTTAATTAATGATAACATTTGCAAATAACGGCCACCGTGCGTCTGTAATGACACTAGTAACCGACAACCATTCACTCGTAGGATATCCCTCAACTTCCGACGTCAGACTGTGCCCCATAGATTAAACTAAACCAAGCTGTTTTTATTTTACCAGGTAAGGCCCACTGAGCTATGTCGCTCTTTTTCGGAAGAGGCCTGGCAGTCACAAATGATAGCTCAACGTAGTGGCTTATCACGTGGGAATGCATGGCAGCCAAATGCTCTGAACGCGTGATGTCGATTCTGAATGTGGAGGGAGAAACCAGAGGACCTGAAAAAAAATCCACGCGACCACGGGGAGAGAGACACGCAAATTCCAAATTTACAGCAGGCGTCAAGGTCGGGATCGAACCCACGACCTCCTGTATACCAGGCGAGGTAGTTAACATCTCGCCCTCGCGGCACCCATTAAGTTGGAATTCATTTAATCAAAAATCATTGATTCAAAGACACGATTTCATGCACGTACCTTGAGCTTAAACGTCCATATTTATTGATGAAAGGATGCTTCATTACATCTCCAATACGGTAGATATATAAGCAAATCCAATTAATACAAAAATACTATATATATAAGCAAGACAAAGATAGCCAAACGTAGCAGGCGTCATGGTCAGTCTCGAACCCACGACCTCCTGCATACCAGGCGATGGAGTTAACATCTCATCTTAACGGACAAGTAAAGCGGCCCTTTGCAACGGGCAGCAAGGGCGACTTAATTTGCATGAGAATGAAGAATCTTGGTAAACATGCAGCGTGGGGCGTTGCGGTGGGGGGGAGGGGGGGAGAGGCCGAGATGAGGGAACCACGAAGGCGATTTGATAAACCGTTGCCTGGCCGTTAAGCATACTCGGCCACTGAGTCAATAACGACGGTCCAATGTGCCTCATTAAAGCGAGGACAAGGTAAATGGAGATATTGCATGTGTCTCGTGAAAGGAAAGCCGACTGATTGTATAGATCCACCGTGGAGGCAGCTCCGAATTTGCCTGCAATGGAAAATGGTCGGTTTCAAAAAGGCTCTCAACTCGGAAATGTCCCTGCCTGACGATCTAAGTTACCGACGCCACACACACAGAGATCGCCTGCCTACCTCTTCCCTCTCGATTCGCCCTCCTCCCCCTCGGCGTGTTATTTTACCCAAGCAACCGAGTACTTACGTTGAAGCCCGCCCGGAAATCCTCCACTCAGTGGGAGGTCGCTCCATCTCTGATGCTGCCCCCTTGTCTGAAACAACCTCCCAACATTTCGATTTAAAGCTTTCGTGACTGCAGGAATTCATCTTCTTGGTTCTTTCGGTAAAGTCATGTAGAAGGAAAATAATAAAATAATAAAAATAAAACATAATAAAATAATTCTCACGACGTTTCGGCCACAACGCAAGCAGCCGTCTTCAGTTGGAGAACAGGTCTGTCAAGTAGACAGTCTGAAATGCGTTGTGGCCGAAACGTCGTGAGAATTATTTTATTATGTTTTATTTTTATTATTTTATTCTTTTCCTTCTACGTGACTTTACCGAAAGAACCAAGAAGATGAACCTCCCAACAGCCATCCACATTATATTGCTCCCTGCACTGTTCGAGTCCAAGCTTAAGACTGTCTACTCCTTTGTTCACGACCGACTGCCTTCATCTCTAAAGCGATACGTCGCAAACGTATATGTGTGAGTTTGTTCAGCCTTTGGACAATCCACTGCTGGATCAAGACCTTCCTCCCCATGCTGCTGTGTCTATCATGGAGGCTGTTTGACCATACTTCACTAATGCCGGTCAGTGCGAGTTGGTGAAGAAGAGTGTTCCATGACAGGTTCAGATGTCACTTGCCACTCACGTTAGGCCTGGCTGGGGATGTAACTCATTGTGCAATGTGCTAACCATTATGCCACCGCTCCACTAGAGGTTGTTCTCTCTCCCCATGATGCACGTCTCAATATTTTTGCACAGCATCTTGAGATGCGGTTTCAATTAGATGCTCTATTGCATTATGTATGTGGCTGTTGCAGGTAATTTCACACAGTGGCAAAGTCGAATCCCTGATTCTGTGGTGTAAAGTTCAGAACATCTTTCGGCTAATATTGTCCTACATAAAAAACATGCAAGAATTCCAGGCGCAATCATGTGATGTTATGGAAAGGAGCCCTTGGAATGCGGCCATAAAGGAAAGTACATTTTACAACGTTTGAAAGCGAAACACCTTAGACAAGAGTGCTGTATACATAAATATAGATGGGCATAAACATTCCGCAATTGAGTGTGATTAACTGTCACACGTGTAAACAAAAAATAAAAACAAGAAACATCGAGACGGATGCGCATCAAGGCCGAACAAAAACCAAACCTCTTCTTAAAATAAGGGCAGAACGTTGCGGGGTCGACCTCACAGAACACAACTCCTCTTTGAGAAGTCGTCCCGGGTATCAAAACGCAATCTA